CTTCATGTCTGCATACACAGATACATAGTTCAGATCAACATAGATAGGGTCTCGTGTTTCTAACATGTCCTGGTTAAATGACACAGGACACATCATTTCATGTTCTTGGCTTCCTAATAGAATCTACACATAGCCATTTCCCCCTGGCTGCTGCTCAGTATTTTGTTCTCAGTTAACAAATACAGGAGCCGCACACGCTCCTGTCTTCCTCTTTTGTGTCTAATTGTAAGAAGCCTCTAATATTTATTCACTGTTCTTCAAGAAAACAGCTAAGCAATATTGGAGAAGGAATGTTCTATTAAAATGACAAATAAAGCCTAATGTCACTCGAGGAAAAAGAACCTCATTTTAAAGAAAACTTTAGTTTCATCACACTAGAAACTTCTCAACCCCAATCATCCAGTAGTAAGATTTAATTAGCAACTCAGTATAAAGTGGCCACAGAAACAAGCCAGATCCTTCTTATCCTGCAGTAACAGTGCTTATGGAGTTATATAAATTGACTTTTTAGAGAATATGTAAAAAGCACACATGCTCATTGAAACACACAATGAAACAGAATGTTTAGCATTACCTGAATGGGGCTTACGTGGATTTCATAATGTATTTTGCCTTAAGTTTCTTGGCTCTTTAACTTGGCATGCAGTTCAACTGCAGACTTGTTTTGTTTTTCCATATTTAAATAACTGAATTGCAGTCATAATACTTGCTAAAACAGTGACATTACTACTCACTCTTCAGGAAAACTATGTCGCAAAGCTCTTTTTGAATCCTCTGTCCACTTTCCCCTCTCCCTGCACCCTGCACCCTGCACTAAGGTTTCTTTCTTAAATTATGCTGAAGTTTTAGAAAATAGGCAGACTTACACTGTTTTTCAACACATATGTTTTGGTTTGGGGATATTTCACACTAATGCAAACCCCCTGTGCCTCTGCAGTAAACATGTCTGTGAATTGCTAATTGTTTTAGATTAACCCCAGAGATGTTTGGCAGACATGGTTATGGCGTTTTCAGCCCACAAATTTAGTGTTTATTTCTGGGACTTTGATCATAAACCCTCCACACAGGCATACAGGCCAGTTGCCTGGTGGAGAGAATAGGGGAAGCATCCTGCATCCTCTAGCTCTCATGACAATGGACCACTCTGCCTTCTAATATTCTTCAGCTCTGGCTGCCTTAATAAAACAGCACTGGCTGGGTGACTCAAGCAGTAGAACTTAATTTTCTGCAGTTAGTCCTAGATGCTGGAAACGCTAGAGCACCAGGGCCATGAAAACAGTTGAGTACTGGTCTTGGCTTGTAGACAGCCAGTCTGTGGCCACATTCTGAGAGAGCTTGCTGCCATCTCTCTCCCTGTTTATGAGAACCCAAGTTCTGTCTGTTTAGGCTTCTCACTAATGGCCTCATTTACCTGTAATGACATTGGGAAGGTACAACTTAGTCACTATAACATACAGAGGACTACATTTGGCCTTTAGGACTCTGGGCCTCCCCTGATCAGACACATCCCCAATTCATTAGCTCTGAAACACTGACCTCTGTGGCTTCTGTCTGTGGGCTGCAATGTCCTGTCTAGACTGGCAGTTAATAGGTTGAGAATAGGAGGGAGTTCTGCAGGGGTAACCTTGGTTTAGGATACCTTCCCAAATCCTAGTATCCCTCCATGCTGGGTCCCAGCAATTCTCTCTCCCCATGCCCAGACCTCAGACGCCTAGTAAACTTGTGTTGTCCTTTCAGATTTCTGTACTTGTCATGTTTTGTTTATTTGTGACACAGAGTCTTTCTATGTAGCCCTGGGTAGTCTATAATTCACTATGTAGCCCAGGCTGGCTTTGAACTTACAGAGATCTGCTTTCCTCTGCCTCCCTAGGGTTGGGACATAAAATGTGTCCTACCCAACCTGGTCATTTATTTATCTGAGCTTGTTAATCATAATGCAAAAATTATCCCTTAAGAGTTGATACAACGGCCTGGGGATGTATCTCAGTGACAGAGAACATGCCTCCCATACATAAAATCTTGGATTGCTGCCTCAGTGTTGGAAAAAACTACTTCTTTCAACCAGACACATTCATACCCGCAATCATAGTACTTGAGAGATGAGGCAGAAAGTTCATGATTTTGTGGTCAGTATCCACCTGAGACCCTGTCTCAAAACAAGCAAACAAATCCAAAAGGAAAGGAAAGGAAGGAAGGAAAGAAAGAATGGAGGTACTAGAGAGATGACTCAGCAGTTAAGAGTACTTCCAAAAAAGAAAGGAAGAAAGAAAGAAAGGAAGGAAGGAAAGAATAGAGGAACAAGAGAGATGGCTCAGCAGTTAAGAGCACTTCCGAGCTGGGTGGTGGTGGCGCACGCCTTTAATCCCAGCACTCGGGAGGCAGAGGCAGGCGGATCTCTGTGAGTTCGAGGCCAGGCTGCACTGACAGCCTCCAAAACAATACAGAGAAACCCTGTCTCGTAAAACCAAAAAAAAAAAAAAAAAAAAAAGAGTACTTCCAAGAAGGAAAGAAATAAAGGCAGGAAGGAAGGAAAGAATAGAGGAACTAGAGAGATAGCTCAGCAATTAAGAGTACTTCCTAGTCCTCCAGTGGACCTTAGTGCAGATCCCAAAATCCTTATGAGGCAACTCACAGCCACTTCCATCTTCAGCTCTAAGAGATCTGACACCCTCCTCTGCCCTCTGTGGACACCCCTACACATTTGATATACACTCACATAGGCACACCACACACATAAATAAAATTAAAACAATTTGAGTTTCATTCTCCCTCTTAACAAAGGAATTGTTGTGCTTTGTATGCTGATAAAACTAAGGCATGGTCATGGTTTAAAGAAGAAAATAAACTCCTAATCCTACCAAACAGAATGGTTCTGGTATAGCATTCTTGTGTGATAGCCTTATGCATATGACTTCTGGACATACACATTTCTATTTTCTCACCTAAGACATCCTGTACTATGCATACACATAGTTTTTTTTTACAGCTTATAAGCACAAAAGTGCTTTCTGAACATTTTCGTTTTAAGTATTGAAATTATTTTAATAAAATTGTATACTGAGGTACAAAGTCATAAATTTATATAAACAAATGTTATTGCATCCCTTTGCTTTTTCGTGGCTCTGTAGTTCTCTTTCTATCATCTGTTGCAGTAATGGTTAAACCAGGTAGGTCTTCTGCCTCCCCATGCATTCTTTTGTCTTACCCAGGTAAGTTGCAGTATGACCATGCTTTTGGCCTATAGAAATCCCTCAGTCTCTGAAAGAGGGAGTGTGCTGATGATAACTGGAACGTTCCTCATTCTTCTGGCTGTCTTCTTACTCTGAGGTCTATATGTGAGTCTAATTGTTCTTACTAAGGTGAGACAGACTTCCTGCAAATGCTGGACAGAGCATGGGCCGAGGCTTGGTTTATGATGGTGTGATCATGTCTACATTCTTCTAAGTTTTTATTATTTCTGCATTCTTCTAGGTATTTATTATTTCTACAGTCTAGGTTTTCTAAGTGTTATGATGGGAAGTCAGGGGTAGTCGAGCAGACCCAACTGTCCATTAGTGATAGCAACAGGGTCTCTCTCTGGCAGTTACTGTCATTCTTGTATTAGGGGAAGGGGTACTTTCTGTGTGGACAACATTGTAATTTTACAGATGAAAGAGTAAAAAATATATATTCATCTTGGTCTCATCAGGCTATAAATGTTTTGTTCCCTAAGGATTTGAGATCAAGAAGAGTTTATTGTGAACAGTCTGGATCCTTTGCTATCACTATATTTGGCATTTTAAATGAGCTACTTTCACAAAACAGTGACCAAAGTACTGACAGAAACAACATACTGCCAGAAAAGCTTATTTTGACTCTCAATTTCAAAAACTTTTAGCTCATTCAATGAGGAAAGTGTGGTAGTGGCTTAGTCCACCATGGAGGGGGGTGGTGAGGGCTATTCTCAATCCATTAGCCAAGATCTTTGTGGTAACCTACAGAGACCACTTTGTGGTCCTATTTTAATCAGCCAGACCCTTCCTCCTGCAGGGGCCAAGGCCTCCCCAAATAGAGCTATCAACTGGGAAACAAGTGCTCAAAACATGAAACTGTTGGGGCATTTCAGATTCAGACTATAACTGTCTCACATTTCTCCTTCCACCTTATGGCCTTGAAGAAAGGCTCAGCCCTCACCAGCACATGGCTTATGCTCATATGCTAAGTTGCAAATGATGGGTTTGCTGTAGATATCCTTCAGTGTGTCTTCCACCTTTAAATTGATTTCTTTTGAATTCTTCGGAGTTTAGCTAGCAAAGAGGCAAAGATGTATTTTACTCATTCATCATTGCTCTCCTTTCCTGCTACTCGTTACATTATGTAGGACTTCAAGGTACTCTTGCAGCTATTTTAAGCTACCAATTTTGATGAGAAGGGTGCCTTAGTTCTTAGCATTTTGAGAAATGGTGAGTTGATCTATTCTAGGAAGTGCTGTATAGCACTACTGCTCTTACAGACAATGGAATTTGGAATAGACTTCTTTATACTTGGTGAGTCTCAGGTATCAATCGACATTACATAACAACCTCCCTTTATAGTAGTTGTGAAGATTTAAAACAATATTGACTGTATCACTATAATTTTTACAGTAACATTTCAAATCTGATGTCTGTATTCAAATGTGTCTTTCCCTGATACATCTTTTATCACTGTGGATCATCACTAAAGCTTGATACCTCAGCTCCTTGTTTGTGTCATAGAGGAAAAAAAAAGATGTGTTGGTCTCACATGTTTGTTGAAAAGTTCAGCCTGAGTCTGTAAAACAGTTACAATTATTCTCATTTTGTAAATATTGATCATTCTTAGTGTAACATTACCTTTATTAAGGCAACTTTCCTCCCTGAGTCATGTTAAGCCGAACATTTTATCCTACAAATACTTTGTTTCAATGGTTCTAAGCTTCTCTTAATCTACAACCTGGGGTCCTGTCTTCCCAGTCTCTAACTTTCTCCATCTATCAACAGGGGCGGAGAGGCCTTGGCTCTGTGTTTGTCTGGGCATCTGGCAATGGTGGAAGGAGCAAAGACCACTGTTCTTGTGATGGCTATACCAACAGCATCTACACCATCTCCATCAGCAGTACAGCTGAAAGTGGAAAGAAACCGTGGTACTTGGAAGAGTGTTCATCTACACTGGCCACAACCTACAGCAGTGGAGAATCCTATGATAAGAAAATAGTATGTAACTTTTGAGCATCTATTACTATCCATTTCTTCATTGAAACATAAAGAGAGATCCATACATGTGTAGAAGTAGCATATGGAAACCACAGTTTAGATTAGCTGATGGTACCAAGTAAGTCACTGTGAACATTAACAGTCTATTACTGATTCCTGGAAAATGCTTGTCATAATATTTGAGTATTAGTATAGCATTGATCATGACTAAGCTTCCGTTTTTTTGTCATCATTTAACTTTTTTATCATTTTTTATTTTAATTTTAAATAGCTTGTTTTACATGTCAATCCCAGTTCCCTCTCCCTCCCCTCCTCCCGCACTCCCCTTCCCCCCCACCCTCCCACCCTATTGTCAAATCCTTCCACATAGGGGATATCTAGAGTCTGTCATTTTACTCTGGGTAGGGTCCAGGCACTCCCCTAAGAGTCCAGGCTGAGAGAGCATCCCTCTTTGTGCTATAGGCACACAAAGACTGTTTGTATACCAGGGATAGACACTGATCCACAGCTCAGGGCCCCATAGGTTGCCCAGGCCTTCTCGCTGACACTCACATTTGGGGGGTCCAGATCAGTCCCATGCTGGCCTCCCCACTGTCGGTCTGGGGTCCAAGAGCACTCCCCTGTTCAGATCAGCTGTCTCTGCTGGTTCTGCCAGCCCATTCTTTGCCAATTTGCTCATCACTCCTCTCTCTCTGTCACTGGGTTCCTTGGGTTCAGTTCAGTGATTAATTGTGTGTTTGCCTCTGCTTCCATCAGTCACAGGATGAAGGCTCCCGGATGGTTATAGACATCAAGTTCATTATCAGGAATGGGCATTCGAGGTGGTCTCTCCACTATTGCTTAGCTTGCCAATTGGTGTTATCCCTTTAGATCACTCGAGGTCACTCTGGTGCCTGATCTGTATTCGATCCTATGATTCCCTCTTCCCCCTATTCTACCCCCACCCCCTCAACTTCCTGTTCCCCCATTAAGAACAAATGATTGCTCTACATTTACATTGATAGTGACGGAGTAAAAACAAGAATTAACATGTGATTCTCAGCTTAGTGCCCCTCTTGCTGACTTTTGATTGTGGTATCTCATTGTGAACAAAAAGTCTATAAGAAAACTCATGACCACACTTCAGATGTACATTTGCTTGTCTGTATCCGTAGGCTCTACATCTACAGACCAACCAACCAAACCACACTGAAATTACCTTGAAGATATTTTTGTGGTCCTTATTCAGTAAACAATACAGTATTACAACTGTATGCAAAACACTTGTGTTATTTTGTCTATTAAAGGCATCTAGAGATTGGATAGTATCTAAGGAAGGATGTGAGACATAAATATGCAAGTACTATGGCACTGTATTTTATATGCAGGACTTAACTTTCTCAGATTTTAGGGTTCCTGAAACCAGTCCTTTGCATATATCAAGGGACTGTATTTATCCAATGTGTACTAACCCTGTGCCAACTGTGCTTTTCTAAGTCTACTGTACTCTACTGAATGGGGAATTATGGAGCTGCATACCCTGTACTGCTGTCTTGCTGAACAGCTAAAGAATCCATGTTACTAGTTTGGACTACCTGAGATTGTGTCGCTTGAGCCATTTTCTAGATTGAAATCCTGCCTTAGAATGTGAGGGTTTAATAATTTGAAGTTCATGGAGTCATTGCTGAAATAATTGGGGAAGACAAGTCAATAAAAGATGCAGCCTAGTGCTAGCCCTTATCAGTGTCTGCGGAAGCTGACTCTTAGAACTCCTACCACAGCGCTGCTCATTCTAAATGTCAAGTTCCATTCCTCTTCTCCTGACCATGGTTTTGTGAGTGTCAGGGTTCATCTTTCAAATGCCCAGCTGAGATGTTGCACCTGATATTTGAGGAGTCACACAGGCACGGGTCACACTGTGGAGTGGCATCTCATTTTTTCAACAGCAGTGAGGGAGCCACTGCAAGTTCACTGTGCCAACCCCCAAATCCAAAACACTAAATCCAACATCTATGTAGCACTGATATAACCCCACATTTGCTGACTCTTTAAAGCATAAAAATCATTTAAAGTATGTAAAGTTATAGACAGGCTGTGTATACAGCATGAACACATGAAGCATAAAGGAATTCTAATTCCCAAAATATTTCATCTTGTTCAAGTATCCCAAAATCTGGAGAATAACTCTATAGTCCAAACACCTCAGGTTCAGAGCATTTACCTCTTGATAGCTATTAATTTCCTGTTAATGGCTTATTTATTATAAGATTTTTATGCCTGATTTTCCAACTGTTTTTAGTACATACTTCAGTTACATTTTAAAGATGTCCCAGTCTTTTCTTAATTCCTCCCCAAATGACTGGATTTAAAAATATTCACGAGTCTGGGGAAGGAAAGATGGTTCAGCAATGAAGAAAACTGTTTGTTCTTCCAGAGAACCTGGGATTGGTTCCCAGCATCCACAGAGCAGCTCACAATCATGTCATTCCAACCCCAACGTGCCTTCTTCTGGCTTCTGTGGACACTGCACATATGTGGTACATAGACATACATTCAGGCAAAATACCCATGCACATAAAATAAAAATAAAGTTGTATGTATACAAGTCCATTTCTCAGAACCTCCTCAATCATCTATCAGTAAACTTACTCCAAACACAAGGTGAAATGTATAAGGAGAAAGTGCAGTAGTGAGCAAGATGTTTCTGTCTTGTTGACTTCACTATACAACTGTAAACACCTGTATATGCCTCTTTTGCTTTTCAGTAGGAAACTGTGTATCCCCTAGCTTGTCACCCCGTCTTCCAATGCCCCATGACACCTATGTCTGCATCACGAAGTACCTGAGAAACTCAAGAATGAGTTCCCACAATTCAGCTCTAGAGTTTGATGATCTACAGCAAGTTCACACTTGTTCCCAAGCATCTTGTGACCTGGCCAGTCCTGTTGTTCCCTGCGTCACCATTGCTGTGGGGATCTTATCGATCAGTTCCAAAAATGCCTTCTCTAAAAGAAGCGTGTAGTCAAGTGGACAAAATATCAAAACAGGCAGAAGTGTGCCCCACATCCCCGATGGAATGCATCACATGATAAGGGCATCAGTTTCTCATTACAACGGCCCAAAACATATTCATCTCTGCATTTTCTCCTTCTCTCTACATAGTTCTTCAATTCTTTTCTTTTTGTCTGCACCCTCAAAATACCCACAATGAGAGAAGATTTTGGAGCCTATGTGAATAGCTATTTGGAAGCTATTCTGACTTCATACTGACTACCTGGTACTTTTCCACTCACTCAGAATCTTGACCTCCTCAACTATAAAATTGAGGTGACACCCACATGGCCTCAGAGATGCCTATGAGACAGTAAGAAACCAAGGAGAGTGGCATCCTGAGTCTGAATGCCTGTTGTACGTGTGACTCTGTTAGTGGCTGGCATCACTGTCCTTAGGCCTGCTTTCTGCATCCTGAAAGGGTAGTTGGCCCCATCTCCTTTCACAGAGTTTCTTGTTGCACCTTCATTTTTCCAATCCATAAAATCCTGTGGTCTGTTCCACCAAGCCCATAAAGAAAGCCCCTGTGATCAGGAACATGTTAACAGCCTGAACTTGAGTGGAATTGGCAGCAGCAGCAGAATTTTATGGTCCAGCTGACCCCTTTTCCTTCCAGATGTCAGAATGACGAATAAGCCCACAGTGCGTCCGGGACCTTGCTACAACCAGGCTTTGAACCTAGACGCCTGTGGTCTCTGGGTGATGTCTACATCCTGTTACTGACATCCTTGATTGAGTGCTAAGGGAGTGGCAGTGTCTTCTTTGTACTGGGCCCCTTCCCTGAGCCATTCATTTCCTTCTGTCATTTGCCACCTCTCCAGAAAAGCACAGTTGTCATTCTTCATTCCTAAGAGCACCTTTGTGATTTGAACCGAGACAGTTGCTGAGAATCTGAGGGACAGAAAAGATCTCTCGTCTGCTTCTGGGAAAGCACTTTGTTAAATAAACTTTACATATCTGAGACAAAAGATCTTTTCATGTTTGCAACCAGGAAAGCTTACCCTGGGTTTCAAAGTATATCGAGGACTACATACCTACATGTCCTGACATTACCAGTAACTTAAGAGTGGGTGCTGGGGCTATATTCACACTGGCATAGACTTGGGACATTGGTGGTGTGATAGTTTATTCCAGCAAAAGAAATATTCATAATTTCAAGAGTCTAATAAGAAGCTCTTTTCTAAACAAAATGATCAGGAATGACTATTGTTTGTTTGGACAAAATCTTATTTAGCACAAGCTGATCCCATGGTCCTTCTGCCTCAGCCTTCCAAGTGCTAAGATTTCTGCAATGACCTGCTACATCTGCAACACTGTTACTTTTTAAGATTTATTTTTATTATTTTTAATTATGTGCACTCTGAGTGCTGTGTGTGTACACATTAGTGCAGGTGCCCTAATATATTAGTGAGCCACCTGACCTGGGTGCTGGGAGCCAAACTCAGGTCCGCTACCAGATCAGTATATTCCTTGACCACTGAGCCACCTCTCCAGGCACCTCTGACTAGCTAGTTTAAAGCCATGACATGAAGTAATGTTTTTGTCAACATAACTGTATACATAATATTCTGTATCTCGTGTGACACATTTGCAGTTTCCATAACATGCCATAAACATAGCATTTGTGGTCATTCTAATGAGGCAGCACTCTGCATGTTGGCTACAACCTCTCATGATATCATGAAAACCCTGTGGACAGGGATCATCTTGTTCACTTCACAGATGAGAAGGCATAAACTTGAAAGGCTAGGAAAAGAAAACACACAGCTGGTCTGTTGGGGGTGCCTAGACTCCAGTCATGCAGAATGAAGCCCAAGCCTGTCTATCATCAGTGTGCTATCATGCCTCCACACTTGTCAGGGCCATCCAGTGTGGAGCTATGTAGAGATGTGTGGTTGCTTTCCTGGTGTTCTCTTAATAGCTGTCCACCACATTTTACTACCTTGCTCTTCCTAACTGAATTTCTGGCC